CCTTAGCTACTCTTCCTGTGTTGTAAGTGGGGGAAAAAATTACCGTGTCTCCATGGGATCGTGAGTATCATCATACTAGTATATGCGAGTGGCACGTACTGAAGGTGTGATGACAGGCCTCAGGCTGCACAAAAGCAGTATTTTGAGGAAAAATGGAAAATCAAAAATCTGGTTGAGAGAAGAGAAAAAACTTCAAGTCACTATGCACATATTTTTCAGTAGGCAGATACAGTACAAAATGCTGTTATTAATCACTGCACACCCTTTTTGATGGTGGTGGGCGGACAACCTGAAACATTCAAAAGAAAATTATTTTCCAAAGAAACTGACTTTCCAAAGCAACCACTCGACATGTGCGTGATTCCAAGATCGGAGTACAGCAAATAGTAGAAAACTGTTTCCTTTCCAGACATCCCATGCATGTCTCTGCTTTGTATATCTGGTCTTTCTTGCCAAGCACTGACCACGCAAAAAGCTTTTTGTATTCTTCACGTCACCTGGCTCTTCAAAGGGAGATGTCCATGGAACATCAATCTGTCAGCTGGTGTGTGTATCTGAAAAAGCTTTTTGCTCTTCTTTCCATGCTCCCACTTACCTGTGGAAGAGTATTCTTAAAACTAAGCCTGTTTTTAAAGCAGTTACCATCTTCTCATTCACAGCTCTTCATTTCAGATGGGGCAGAGAAACTCTGGCCAAGAGCCGGATCTCGTCTGTCAAAATAATAATTCTGGCTGATAGCTCGTTGTCCGCTTTCAGCTGGGGCTTCGTAAGAGGATTTCAGGGAGGCTGATGTAGTCCAAGTGAATTGTTCTTCCAGTCCTCTCCCAGACAGCCTTCCCTAGGCACGCATCCATTTTCAATCACCAGATTGAGAACGCAGCTGTCACACAGTGAAAATGTAGCTGTTTCTAATTGTGTGATTAGACATGGATCCATGATATATGATGGTGATGCCAACAGTTTACTGTTTGGTAGGTTCGTGCACAATGGCATGGCAGGGAAGGACTCGTAGCCTCTCCAGAGCCCACAAAAGCAGCAGTGTGACCATTTACATGAAAGGTTCTCCATCTGTAGATGGAGAAGAGCAGGCTGGATTGTTTTTCAGTGATAACCTTAGTAAAGTGCTAAGTAGCGATTGCCAGTACAGTCAGTAAGGATGGATGATTGCCTTGGGCTTTTGTGCCATATGTTGAGCGTGCTGTATCTCATTTGTTATCTCCATATAATTATTGAAATGCTGATTGCTGTTGAGGTAAATGTCAACATTAAATAAAAAAGATCATGGTAATTCAAAGTTGGAGTTTCTGTTAAGAAACTAGTTTTTATAAATTAATACTTTCAAAGGGAAAGTAAGTAAGTAAATATGATTAATCTGTATTTGTAGCATTGTAGAAATAATAGCCAAATTTTGGTTGAAAGGATTCTCTAGTCGTCTGCCTCCTGCTTGAACCAGGGTTGATGTCAAGGTTAGATGAGGTTACTCAGAGCCGTATCCGGTTGAGGATAGTGCATATCTGTCAGGATGGCATTTCCGCAGCCTTTCTGAGCAGCCGGTCCCCGGGCTCAGCCAATCTCACTGAAGAATTTTTTTCCTCGTATCTGGAATTTCTCATCTTGTTGCCCATGTCTGTTCTCTGTTGTCCTTTCATTGAGAAGAGTGTACGTTGGTCTTCTCTGTCACTGCCTTTCACGTAGTGGAGTGCAGCAATTAAATCCAGCCTTCTCCTTCCCTTCTCCAACCTGAACAGACCCAGACCCATGAGCCTCTCCTCCTGCATCCTCTGCTCAGCCCCCTGGCATCTTAGAGGTCTTCCCTGGTATTAACTTGCTGTCCGTCAGGGTCTCCACCTCCTGATTTTATCCCAGAGTGCCAGTGACTTACGAATTGGAGACTGGGTGGTTTTACGTACCTACAGTTGGGTGCAAAGTGTCTCTAAGTACAGAGAAGTGCCCGGGAAGTCCAAAGCATCACTGCATTGCCAAAACCGTAGTTCTGAGTACCAGTGGCAGAGAGCTGCTACTCCGGTGGCACTGGCTCAGTAACGGGCCTGCGCGTGCTTTCTGGTGCACCACACCTTTGGACATCAGCTTAAAGAGCGCAGGAACTCTGACTGATACAATCTAGAGGTGTCGTGGTCCTTTTTGTGGCTGTTTACCTGCTTATTAATGCATGTTTAACGCTGATTCTTTCACTTTATGGTAAAAACCTAGGTCAAGGACTTATTTTTTTTTAAATGAGGCCAAATTAATTTCATTTGTCTTGTGTTGTGTAGCCAGTCCATACTACAGATATCTAGGAACCTATCACCAGGTTGCTACAGATGAATCTGTGAGACGTTGTCCTGCATGAATGCTAAGAAGTATTGTTACAGATACTTGTCGCAGCCCCCAAAAGGCAAGGCTGTCTCCGGGCTGTCCCTGCGTGCATCCAAGTCGGAAGGTTCTTTGTCCTCGGTGCAGAGTCAGGAAATCAAGTATCTGAGATGCTGCAGCTCCAGCCCATGCTGGGCTTGGAGTCAAAGCTGTACGAAAAGGGAAAAAGAAGCAGCAGGATCATTTTGAAAAGCTTTAGTTTCTCTCCAGCAAAAGGGTGGTATAAATATCCCAAATCTATGAGAGCTCGCAGCTCTTACTGTATACAAACAGATGTAAAATTCACTGTATCGCAGTGGTATGCTTACTTCTTGTGCTTCTCAATGAACAGTTTTTCCAGTTTAATCTTTATTGTTCCAAGCAGACATACTGAGGAATTAATGCTTCGTTTTTGGGGACAAAAGCTGTATTCTTTTGGAGTTTACCTTTGTGGCTAAATTCAGCTGCATTTCCATTGTTCGCTAGGAATCTGTGTTAAGTAATGATGCGTTTCTTAGTGTTCTCAGAAATTGGCCCCATCAACACGTGGTCTAGGAAGGCTGGTCCGGCTGTTCCTGTGGATGTGTTCCCCTGAGGTACAGAGGGGACACTTCAGGCTTCTCTGTCTTGTCTCAAGAGGGTAAAAATATTCTCCATGTTGTGTGTGGAGATCCCTACCAGTGATCTCTTCTGACTACTCTAAAAATCTCTTCAGTTTAAATACCTGGTAATTTATGAAGTCCTTCAGATTTTTTTTTTTAAGCTGTAAAATGAAAACTCTCAATCTTGAGCTTGAGTCAATGACTGTTTATTAGTTATAGTGACTTTAGAAATTAAAGGCCCATTCGTAGGATCAACAGAAATGTCAACAAGGGGCATTCTTGCTTTGTTGGCTGCAGCATTGTTGTTGTGTGACTGCAATGAATTATTTTGGCTATAGCCCACTTGGATGACACTGCAGTTCACAGCTTGAAAAAGGCAAGTGCCCATAAACAGGCTAAATTTACAGGTGATTTAACAACTCCAGATTACGAATTGGAACAGAAAAGCCTGAATTTTCAGGAGACAAATATTTTGTAGTAAATGTTCTGACGGAGTGAAATCCCCTCCCTAGAGCTGTGCCAGGGAGCGCTGCCTGATTTTTGGAATGATTTTCTGGATCAGATGTTTTCTCTGGTCTTGGAGATGGAAAATAGTTTTATGTTTAAACCACCTGGAAGGAATTAGATTCCTGTGGCTGCTTGGGTAATTGGTGATGCAGAGCAGAACGAGAAGAGTTTAACAAATTAGGCTAGATGAATCCATGTTTGTACACAAGTATGGACTCCCATAGTTCTTTCATAGAATCATAGAATCATTAGGGTTGGAAAAGACCTCTAAGATCATCAAGTCCAACCGTCACCCCAACCATGCCTGCTAAACCATGCCCCGAAGTGCCACACGTACACATTTTTTGAACCCCTCCAGGGATGGTGACTCCACCACCTCCCTGGGCAGCCTGTTCCAATGCCTTTCAGTGCTTTGTGGCTTTTAATACGCATTACACCGATAAAGAGAAACTCAGTTTTGTCCTGAGCTAGTGTAGGGTTAGCATCCCATTGAAGCTTTGTGGTGGCCTGAAGGGATTGGTGATCACAGTGTCTGCTCTGGATTCCTGCGTCAGTGTCCATCTCGGTGTTTTACACCACGATTGCAGTATTTACCTTGATGACTTCCAATTCAACAAAAATACCCTTTTGAAAACTGTTCTAGATTTAGAGTCATCAAGGAAGCTTAACCTGTTTGCTAATTCCAAGTGATTAATTACAGTTATAAATGGATTTTATTTCTGAGCCAGACTTTTTTTTTATTTTAGTCCCCATCATGCTATCTCTGACAGATAATTAGCCTTCAGATATAAGTGTAGCTCTTTATTATTTATTATTTAGAAATACCTCTGTCTCAGCTTCATTAACTTACATATATTTAACATGATCAACAGACGAGGCATTAGTATGTTAAAACACGTTTAACATCAGCTTGCACTGCGGCCCCCGTCACACCCTGTGCAGCCAATCGGTTGAATCACAGAACCATTGTAGGCTGGAAAAGACCTCTAAGATCATCAAGTCCAGCCATCCAGAGATGAGAATCGCTTCCTCTGCAGCCGGATCCTGTTCACTGCCTCCCGCCACGGGGGACTGGCGCTGAGCTTTGGGGACCGGCGCTGAGCTTTGGGGACTGTCTCTGAGCTTTGCCACGCGACCGCAACACTCCTTGGTCCGGCGGTGGAGGCGCAGGGGCTGCTGGCTGCGGAGGGACCATAGTTCCGCACTCCGTGTCCGTCCCCTCCATCAGCCCTGGTTAGCAGGCAGACAGGCGTGGGGTCGGGGCGCACTGCCTGTCGCCCACCCCCAGCCTCTCACAGCAACAGGGTGAGCCTGGGGCTGAGCAAGGGGCTCTCCTGGGGCCTGGGCTTGGGCTGTCGTTGCGCCACAGGGATGGTCCCCAGGTAAGTGGCCTCTCCTCAGTCTCAGATCTGGTTGTAGGCCTTCAGCGTTTAATGTTCGTTCCCTCTTGGTTGCAAGATAGTTGTGATGTTTTGCTGACATCTTATGATTGAAATCGGTGTTTCTGAAATACCCATAAATACGTCTGTTGTGTTATAGGCTTTTGAGCTAGCGACTGGAGATTATTTGTTTGAACCACACTCTGGTGAAGACTATTCCAGGGATGAAGGTATGAATCTTTTGAGATATTGTAAGAGTTTCTGTATGTTTTCACAGTCCTCTTCTTAAATTTCCGGTGACCTTACAGTGGGTTAAGTTTTGTATTTGAGTGAACTGTTCATACACATTGTTTTCAGAATATAAATACGATTTTTTTCTTTTTAGTTTTAAGTTCCATCACTAGCAGTGGGTGGGCAAAAACTCCCTTCTGCAGATACTCGTCTACTTAACAACTGCCTGAAGGAATTAAACTGCCCTTCTTGTAAGATTGCATATGTGTGGAAACCTGATTGAGAATAACAACGTTTTAGTTTAGAAAAAAAGCAACAAATTTGAACTTTGTAGTATTTTCTCCTTATAAGAGTGACGCTGGAATAATGTTTACATTGTGTATTTTTATTTGGATTAGGCAATTACTAATTTTTTTTTAAATCAGAATTAACTCCTGCTTCCATCTGTATACCTGTCCATTTTCATGCTTGTTTGCCTGTAAATGCTCTTTGCAGTGGTAATGTGGGCATCATTCATTGTTCCTAAGTGCTAGTAATGATGCCAGAGCTCTGCTGATCCTGGAAACCTCTGCATGGATTTGCTGCAAACATTGTTGATTTGAAACTATTTCTGATTTTTTACTAATTCCAGTTTCTTTCCTCTTCTTTTTTATCCCATCCTTTCCCTGCCCCTTCCACTCCCGTATCCTTTTTTTCTCTCCCTCATAGACCACATAGCACACATCATAGAGCTGCTAGGCAATATCCCAAGGCACTTTGCTCTATCTGGAAAATATTCTCGGGAATTCTTCAATCGCAGAGGTAGTACCTCTTCTTTTTGAAAGGTGCCGTGATGCAGACAGAAGTGGAATTGCTGTTGCTGGTTGTAGTGTGTCCCACCGAGGAGCATTTCCTGAAATCATGCAACAGAAATTTCGTTTTGAAAAACAAAATGCACAGGAATCTGTGACAAATATTTTCTTTTTTTTTTTAGCTAAACTTTCTGAAAAATAACTATTGGTACATTTTAAATTACGCAGCAAAACTTGGCTGTAGTAGCCGATACTCAAAATGCTTTTTTTGAGGAGGAAGTTTTGCTGAAAGCATCTTTCCAAATTGGCCACTGAGCAGTGTGCACATGTCTTTTTCTTACCAGGATCAATCTATTTCTGTCTGTACCGGGCCAGTGTTAGTGTGTGCATGCAATGTACTGATTAAACTGTTGTATGTTTCTGTTTTGCTGGCAATGTTCTCCAATGCAGACCACATAGCATTGATCATTGAACTGCTGGGAAAAATCCCTCGAAAATACGCTATGTTGGGGAAATATTCCAAGGAGTTTTTCACCAAAAAAGGTAACGGTATTTATGCAACGCTAATTTAAAGCATATCCAAAAGGAGAATATGTTCATTTATGGGTACTGAAGAAATAGATCTGTTTAAATGGAGAGCTCTTACTAAAGAAGAATCTTGGTGTAAACTTGGCTTTCTGAGAAAAGCGACAATTCACAGTATTCATTTCAGTATTTCTCTTAAAATTCGTTTTGGGATGTACACAACGGCGTGTGGATGTTAACAAATGTCTGTGTGAATCTGTTGCCCAGTGTTCACGTAAATGTAAGGAATTAAGTGACGCGTAGCTCGTGATGCGGAAAATCATCTGTCCGCTACTTCTGATCGTACACAGCGCGTGGCCCAGCGGGCGCTGCTGCTGAGGAGCAGCCAAAGTGGGACGGGGGTACCCGGGCGGCGGGCACCCGGCTGCGTGCAGTCGGTGCTCACGACCCTGCCGCCCGCCTGGAGAGAGAGCATGCGGAACGGG